GGATCCATACTCAGTTTGTGGACCGCCACCTCCAATGGAATACTTTTCATATCTGTGAATGCGACCAAGCAAAGTATTCAACATTAGATTTAAGAAAATCTATGAATTTTAACCTGAGTTCGGGACTCAAACCCGTTCCCATATGGAACTTCCTTTCCAAAAATTCTTAGAACGAAGCCACTTGTTCGAGTTCTTCTGCAGTTGACTTGGTTGCATCCATCTCCTCTAGTACCTGAAAAGACCTCGTTACCTTATGCAATTCTGATGTTTCCTCATTTTTATCATCTTCAATTGGATGGGAGAAGGCACTGATTCCTGTAATTACTGCTTGCTAGTTTCTCTGAACTTGTTGCTGGAAACGGTCACTACGTTCACATCTTTTGCCGTCGGTTGGTGTCCTCTTATTTGTTTGATACCTTCTGGTGTTGGAAACTTCAACAATTGATGATAGGTCGAGGGCACAATCCTTCATCTCGTGTATCTATGGCCTTTCGAGGATTACATTATAACCCATGTTGTCATCTACCACTTCGAACAAAGCGGCCTTCGTTACTCCTTCGGCATGCATGGGCAACAAAATTTCTCCTCGGGTCGTGACACTTGTTAAGTTGAAGCCAGCTAGAAGTTTTGTTACCAGAATGATGCTTCTGGTTAACTTTGCTTGCTCCAAAACTCTCCATGAATGATGTTTGCCGAACTTCTTGGATCAACCAAAACACGCTTAATTTTGAAATCTACAATATTGAGAGAGATTACCAAAGCATTATTGTGCGGTAGAAGAAGCCCGTTAGCATCCTCCTCTTGAAGGTGATGTTGTCTTCTACGACTTCTCGGATTATCTTGCCATGAGTCACCGATATCTTTGTCTTCTTTGCTGCCGAAAATGTCAACCCATTGATCTCGTCCCCTTCGAAGATCACGTTAATTGTCATCCGAGGTGACCCTACTGCCGGCTTTGAGGGCTCCGCATTGTCTCGATTTCTACCATAGTTACTCTTGGTGTGGTCACCTAAAAACTCTCTGAGGTGGCCATTTTTTCAACAACGTCTCCACCTTTTCATGAAGATGTCGGCAGTCCCCAGTTCTATGGCCGTGAGTCCCATGTAATTCACACTATAGATTAGGATCCATTTGGCTAGGATCCGACCGGATTGGTTTCGGGAACCGTGCTTCTTTAATATTCCTCATTGCTGACACCAATTCTACCAGGCTAATATTAAAGTTGTAATGGGATAACCTGGGAGACGCTAAATCTCGGAAACCCGACACCTCTTTTACCTACAATTATCTGCTACTCCGACCACGATCCGTCCTTCTATCGGAAGTGAACCTATCCGACAATTGAAATCCGTTATTACCACACCCATCGGCTCTCTCGTAAGGTTTGAAATGACTTCTAGAGGGTCGCCGATCTACATCAAAATCACTTTTGAATTTATCCTGATTTCGATCACGATTCCGTCCTTTGGAGGCACCGAGGAAGCAAGTTTATCATATTATTATCTTTGACTCGCATTGATTGTGAACATCTTCCCATGTGGTTGCCTGAAACTCGAGCAACCTCTCCTTCAATTTTTGGTAGCATCAGAACTCAGCAGATCGAGACCCTTTGTAAATGGCTCTGCTGCCCACTCATCTGAAACCTCTAGTAACAACATCCTTTTTCTCTAGAACTGGATCACGAATTCTCGCAGCACTCGTATTCTCCTTGCGAGATTCAGAATATATCTGCCTTTCTGGCTTGGACCTTCCTTGCCCCAATATAAGCTTTGATGAATTAATCTGTAAGTATTTCAAAAGAATCAATATAATGCTCAGGTAAGAGGGAATACCACATTAAGTCACCCTTCGTAAGGGTTTCTCCAAACTTCTTCAACAAAACTGATTCAATCTCATGCTGGGTCAAGTCATTTCCTTTTACTACCATAGTGTAGGTTGTGATGTGCTCCTATGAATCCGACGTCCCATCATACTTTGGGATATTCGGCATCTTAAACCTCTTTGGGATCAATTCTGGTGCCACACTTGGTTTAAAGGGTAACTGCATATACTTCCTCGAATCTTGTCCTTTTAACACCGGCGGCGCGCCTGGGATTTGATCCATCCGAGCATGAAAATCCTTTGCATTCTAGTTCATTCTTTCATTCATTTCTCTCATGAATCTCATGAGCTCGATTTTGAAAGGGTCATTTAAGTTGTTGTTCCCAGATCCACTACCAGTCTCTCCGGCCTCGTCGAAACCGACCTCATCCCTTGAAGTGTTATTATCGGTTCTTTGAGTCGTCTGATTTGCGGGAACACTGGGAGGAACTGGAGCCCTTCCATTAGCGTTATTGGAAGAACCCGATAATGCCCGCTTCAATTCCGTCATTACACGATCTTGCCTTGAGAGGTAATCCATAATCAGTTTTTGTTATTCTTTTAAGATTTTGACTATCTGAACAACGTGCTCATCCTACGCATCATCAGGAGTTGGGCCCCTCACACGTTGAGGATACTGGCCTTCGCGTATTAGGGTTACCTCATCTCCTTCGTTGCGGGTTTCGCTAGTTAAATCATCACACCAGAACTCATCTTCGTGCTCATTGTGTGTTCCAACATTGTAGACATTGTTGACATCATTAGCTTTCATATCTGATTTTTTTTACTAATAAAATAACCAAAACTTGTTAGTAATAGATGAATAGATCAAAGCAACTACACAATTGTATATGCCCCACAGTGGGCGCCAAACTATTTAACCGTACAACGATACAGTTGAATTTATAATGTGGTTTATAGACAAGCGAATCGATTTGAACCAAAAATAATAAATAAGTAAGAACAAAAGTAAGATTGTCAAATGAAATTAAGGAAGATTACAAGCCTGACTAAGAACTTAACCTTTCCTATGGCAACATTGAAAGCAATGTTCGAGAACTAAAATTGAGTGTATGAAAGTAGAATATAACTTTTTTTGTGCAGAGTATTTTTTTTAAAATAATTTTTACAATGGATGCTAATCCTTCTATTTATAACCCCATTCAGGGAGATAAGATCTCCAAATCAAGCTCCTCTTGAATAAGAATAAGACCGACATTGATGAATGCATAACGGTTGGCTATAAATGCAGATTTTTCCCGTAATAGCTACCCATTGAATGTTATCCCATGACAATGCTTTGAATCTTTCTGATCGGCTATTCTTCCTTCGGCATTTGCTCGGCACCGAATGCATACTTACATCCGGTGCCAGCTGTTGCTGACTCACGTCCCACCTATCTTTAGTTCCACGTGTCATTTCGTCATTTGCTCAGCTGTCACTAACTAATTTTTCCCACATACATTAAGTAAATGTAATTTATTGGCCCTCCATGTTTGCGAAACTTAATAGGTAGGATAAATACTTAATTTCCTTCTCCTTCCTTCAGATACACACACATAATAAACTAGAGATTTATGCATGTGAGTCATGGAAATCTTCTTCCTCGACTCTTACGAAACTGAAAACGTACGACGACAACTTCCCTTTCATCTCCTTCTTATTAATTAACGCGGAGAAATTATATCTGCGCATGTGAGTCATGGACATCCAGCAAATCATTAATACGTGCGAATTAATCTTATCAAAAGTTTTCTAGTAATAAATATTCTTCTTGTTCAACAATAAAAAATATTCATCTTGTTCCAGGAAGAAAATGTTATCGTTCCTCGCTATATCCTAAAAGCCCTTAATTTGATATGAGAAAGTTTTACTTCATATTAAGCCATCTTTCGAGTTCCCTTCTTAAGATAGTCTAAGTGAAGTCCTAACCAAGTCCGCAATTTTCTATCATAGTTATTCTCCTTGTTTCTCAGTCATTTGTTAAGCTGAAATCTTAAGCCGACAAGTATAAATGGTATTAATTAAATTGGAACGTTATTTCTACAACAAACGCATCACCAAGAAGATGTATTTATTATCGTTTGAACAAAGCAAGACATACTACGCTACTAGCTAGTGAATTTACCTAGCCGTGCAATTATTTAGTGATAAATTATAAACAATATGTCTGGCACGCTGATAACGTATTATTTCTTTATAGGAAAATCTTGAAATAGGCAATCTAATGTGAGCTGTCTTGTTGAGAAATTCTAAGAAGTCAATAATAAAATTTACCTTTGCGCGCATTTCATTGTGTAGGGATGAGAATTTGACCTAAGTTGCCTTCGAAAACGTCACTTTCATAAAGGTCAGCGGCGGATCCAATAACATGGTCATATGTTAAGTTTAGTTGGCACCATGCCATGCATGCGTCAAGTCACAATGCATGTATTATTTGAAATTTTAGAGTTTAGAAGTGTAGGAAATTTTGGATCCACCCATAAAGGGTGCTTTAAGATCTAATAAGGTTATTAGTTAATTCTAATATTTCCTATATAAGTACACTTATAGTGTACAATAAAATATACTCTCAACAGTATTTTTCCACGTTCTCTCTGTCTCTCAATCCAGACTAAGGTTTAGACTGTGGAATTGGGGGTTGCTCTAACACACCGTGACAACCTCCGCCGACCAGTAGTTCCAGCTACAATTCATTCCTTCCGATTCACGAACAAGTAGGTTCTCATTTTACGTGCTAATCTAATGTGTTTAGTTTATCGCGTTCCTTCAAGAACTCTTTATATATGCATTCTCTCCGCAGAAAAGATGTTTATCTGACAGGGAACTTCATTTATAGATTGAACCCTGAAAAGTTCACTATGGAAGCTCTTTACTCTAGTGTCCACTACTGGCTAGTTGGCCACCCAACAATTAGCAAATTCGAGTGGAAACAAGGCCACACTTTTGGTTCCTCATTACTATTCCTCGCTCTTTCGGTCTCTATCTACTTGTCTCTCACTCTATTATCTCTTCGTTTCGCATCACACCTCCCCACCCTATCCGCCACCATTCTCCACCGCATCACTGCTGTACACAGCCTTATTCTCTGCCTCCTCTCTCTCATCATGGTCGCCGGCTGCAGCCTCTCTGTCCTCCACCAAATGCCACGTCATGATTGGAAATGGGTCTTTTGCTTCCCAACCAATCACATTCATACTCGTGGACCCCTGTTCTTTTGGTTTCAGGTCTGTTTCCTTTCCAAGATTCTTGAATTCATAGACACCCTTTTAATCATTTTCAGTAGTTCTAGATCAAGGCGACTCTCGTTCCTTCATGTGTACCACCATGCAATGGTGCCTGTTCTTGGTTATCTTGCGATCTACACTTCTCAGTCGATGCTCCATATTGTAGTCATCACGAATGCTTCAGTCCATGTTCTAATGTATGCCTATTACTTCCTCTGTGCAATAGGGAAAAAGCCATGGTGGAAGAGGTTGGTCACAAACTGTCAAATTGTTCAATTCATTTTTGGATTTCCATGTTCAGCTATGATGTTGTACTATCACTTTACTACTAAGCTTGGGTGCTCCGGTTTTGGACCTTGGTGCGCTTGTATTGCTTTTGATGTTTCGCTTTTGGCACTTTTTCTTGACTTCCACTCCAACAACTATGGCAAGAACAACAGGAAAGGCCATGATAATAAGCTGGAGAAACAGACATAAAGTCCGTTCTTCATATTTAGCTGCAAGCAACTCTATTTAGCATCATGTACAACCATGGTTATTCTGCAGGCTTATTAGTACTTCCATTTATTCACATCTTTGTTTTTAGAATGCGATTCATTGTCTTGTTCCAAAACGAATTTATCTTATATTCTTTGACAATGTAAGTGAATTTTAACAATTTGTTTCAATTTAACATGATGTAGAAGATTTTTTGCCCTATTTTCACGATTACTGGTTTCACTTATTATTACTAATTTAGTAGTGAGTGGTGCTTGCATAGCAATTTAACATCTATGTGCATGCTTGTTTGGTATAGAATAATGGTTATGTGTTTTTGGCATGGATGCCATGTTCTTGCATTAACATGTGCATACATTATTTTAGAAAGACTAGTCCCAAGTAGTTAGAGTCAGGTAGAGGATTCTTTCTCGAGATCCTTGTGATTCACTTATAAATCTGTTTATGTACGTTTCGAACAGATGATATGTTTATTTCATACTACCTTTGTAAACTCTAAATCTTAGAAGCTCATGATTTGTACTACCAGTTCTTTGGGAGTTGTATAAAAGTTCAGTTATTTCATCACTTATTTTCTCGGTAAATCTCATTTGAATTGGATTATTGTTAATTGGCTTACCTAGCGGGTTGGGTTAGTTTTCATCACGACTAGTTGGATTTTGGGTCGTCACAACGTAACCTCGTAAATCATGCTAGAGATTATGTGTAAGTTTGATTTTCCCTCTTTGGACATGATACTCATTATTGTGAAGTGTCACCGCTTAATTTGAGCAGTACTTGTACACTTCGCTCATGCATACACGTTAGCATGCTATTTGATTAGTACAGAAGAATGTGATTTGATATCCATTGACTGTATACATGTATTCATGTATATGCTTTTTGTGTTATTGAGTGGTTGACAACACGCGAGTTGTCCGTGTGGGTTGAGTTGACTATGGCACGTGAGTTGTCTATGCGAATGTTTTGTTTATGGCATGTGAGTTGTCCGTACATCATGCTGATAAGGATCCATACCCCTAGGGTCATCCTCTCACGTTTCTTCTTGATGCAGTACACGCGATTATGGAATACTGATCAATATTTGGCTTTATGTATTTTCTCTCTATGCAAACTCCTTTGACGTATACATGATTTATTGTATATTTCCTCTATATGCTACTTCTATGCTTGTATATATGCCTTTTATGCATATCTTCTCTATATGTCGTTTCACTTGATGAAGTGATACACAATACATAACTTCTCTATATGTCTCTTTCCCTGTAATTTGACTCGTATATTTACGCATATCTCCCCTATATGCTAAATTGTTATCCTAGTTGATGTTCGTGTATATCTTCTCTATATGCACCTTGAGTTTTATCTGTAATTATGCTTAGACTCTAGTATTGTTTTTTCGTATTTGTATGTATTTATAATTTGAATAGATTTATCACGTGAGTATCATTGGTGATTCTTGTCACTACCACTTCGAGGCTAGTCACGTGTACCGACCCGACCGGTCATTTGAACTCTAGCATTTTCGTTTGCTGATTTGAGACTTTGAGTGGCTCATGTGATGCATTATAAATTGTGTGTATGGTTGGCTTCGATGTCTGAGAAGTTCGGGATTGATTTAGAAGAGTCATTCTCAATTTGGAGCGTTAAGTTAGATGAGTTGACCAAGGATTGACTTTTGAGTAAATAATCTCGGAATCAGGATTTGAAGGTTCCTACAGGCTCTTAAGGTGATTTTGGACTTGGGCATATGTTCGAGTTGAGTATCGGATGGTCCGAGAGTGATTCAGCGCTTATTGTCGGAAGTTTGCATTTAGAAGGTTTTTGAATTTGCTATGTTTGTCTTAGAGTGGACTTTTATGTTATCGAACTTCGGTGGTGTTCGAGGACCTTGAATAGGTTCATTTAGTTGATCTGAACTTGTGTGTAACATTTCATCGTGATCCAGAATGTCTAAGTGTTATTCAGACACGTTCGGCGAAGTTTGAATGTTTAAAAGTTAAGAGAAGGATTTTGATTGTCTATTCTTGATTTTGATGTTATTTGTGGTATTTTGAGCCCGTGGATAAGTTTGGATAAGGTATTGGGACTGAATTGGATGATTGGACGGGGTCCTGGGGCCTCGGGTGTGTTTTGGGGTGGTATCAAACCGTATCGGAGTGTTTTGCTGTTGTTGGTTCTGATTTTGCTCTTTGCAAATGTGGTGGGAAGCACGCGTTCGCGATGAAGTATTTGGGGTAGGAGGCCATTTGTGCTTTGCGTTCCTGATTGATGAGCCACGTTCACGAAGGCTTGGGGCAGTGGTGCTTAGCGTTCGCGACAGGGAGGTCATGCTTGCGAAGAAGAAGCTAGGACTGGAGGCTTGCCTTCATATTCGCGAAGGCATGGCCGCCTTCGCGTAATGCAAGCCTAGTAAGGCATTGGGCTCACAGGCCTATTTTGCGATCACAAAGAGTTTTTTTGGGCAGAAGGAGAGTTGTGCTTCGCGAATGCGAGGCACATGCCGTGTTCGCAAAGTGTAATGCCTACGCGCAACTTATAAGTTGGAATTTCGGGATTTCTTCTATTTTTCATTTGGGATCAATTGGAGCCAATTTTGGGGCGATTTGGAAGGGCCATTTCACCTACCTAAGTAGGGTAAGTGTTTCTAACCCACATTTTATTATTTTTCATGAATATTATGAATTCAGACTTGTAAATTCATAATTTGAGATAGGAAAATGTGGGATTTTTGGAAGAGGGTCTGGAATGGTATTTATGAGTTTTTACCATTGAATTGGGCATGGAATTTGGAATCAATTATATATTTGAGTTCGTGATATTATAGGTAATATTTATCTTCTAAAACTTATGAAATCTGAGCGGTGGGCCCGGGTTTGACTTTGTTGACTTATTGTGTGGGGGTTGAGAGTTGTTTCTAATAGTTAAATTATGACTTTTGATTGGTTTGCACGTTCTTTGGCTAGTTTCATATTGTTTGGCATTGTCTTGAGGTGTTAAAGAGACGTTGGAGCCGATTATCGAATTTTGGAGCAAGGTAAGTCTCCAGTCTAACCTTGTAAGAGGGAACTTATCCCCATAGGTGCTATATATGTTGCATGCTATGTGTTATGGGAGCTACATACGTACGAGGTGATGAGCGTCCGTGCATACGATGGAATATAAAAAAGATGTCTTCAAGAGACTAACAAAAATTGCAGCAATAATAAAAGCTAAGGCTTGGAAGGAGCTGTCACGACCCAAAATTCAACTAGCCGTGATGGCACCTAACCTAACCCGAGCCAATTAACAACTATCCAATTTAATGAGATTTACTGAGAGAAGAAATGATAATACAACTATTTTTATATAATGAATTTCCCAAGGACTGGTAGTACAAATCATGAGCTTCTAAGATTTAGATTTTTACGTGACTGAACTGAAATAAGTACAACAACTGTATGAATGTAAATGAACAGAATTTGAATCTAATGCTACCAAGGACAAGTGATAGCCATAACTGAAATGCATGTACATCTTCAGGTCCATCTCCCGCCGTACGCAGCAACATCAGCATCCAACATCTGCACGCAAGGCGCAAAAGTGTAGTATGAGTACAACCGACCCCATGTACTTAATAAGTAACAAACCTAACTTTAGGTTGAAAGTAGTGACGAGTTGGGACATGGGTCATGGTCCAACTCCAATAACCAGCCACAGTTCATAATAATAAAATAAAAAATGGTTCAAGAAAATAACTCAGAGATAAGATGCTCAACTCGTTCACAGTTACGGAAAAATAGATATGCTTTTCAAGTATAACAGTAATTCCCAAATATTTCACCGAAAACCCTAAAAGCATATGAGTAAGTTTGAAAATTGCGATTCTCCAAAAACCATTCAACAATAAATAAGATGTTTTATTTTCAGATAGCATGAGGAAAATACATCTCTATGCCTACATGTCAATATACAAGTGAAATCATGCATGTCCCCAAAATCGGGCAGTAGAAGGAATAGCATCTCTATGCATGTATCTCAAGTACGCATGTCAAATGCAATATATATCAGTGATGAACTCATGTACTCACACTCTCAGAGTACTCAATCTCACTGTCTCGTATTCTCTCTCACCATGCTCAATACTCAGTCATACCATGAAAGTCTGGGAAAGAGTGGTAGAAATGAGAGTGCGAAGGACGGTGTCTATTTCAAACAACCAGTTCGGGTTCATGCCGGGGTGATCTACCACAGAAGCTATCCACCTTATTAGGAGGATGGTGGAACTATACAGGGATAAGAAGAAGGATCTCCACATGGTGTTTATCGATCTAGAGAAAGCGTACGATAGGGTTCCTAGGGAGGTCTTATGGAGTTGCTTAGAGGTTAAAGGGGTCCCGGCTGCCTACATTAGGGTGATTAAAGACATGTATGATGGAGCTAAGACTCGGGTTAGGACAGTAGGAGGCGACTCCGAGCATTTCCCAGTTGTTACGGGGTTGCACCAAGGGTCTGCGTTCAGCCCTTTCCTATTTGCCCTGGTGATGGATGCCATAACGAATCATATTCAAGGGGAGGTGCCATGGTGCATGCTATTTGCTGATGACATAGTCCTAATTGACGAGACACGACGCGGCGTCAACGAGAGGCTAGAGGTTTGGAGGCATGCCCTTGAGTCTAAAGGTTTTAGGTTGGTCAGGACGAAGACGGAATACCTCGAGTGTAAATTTGGGGCCAAGCCGACGGAAGCGGGAGTGGAAGTGAGGCTTGACTCTCAAGTCATCCCTAAGAGGGGTAGTTTCAAGTACCTTGCGTCAGTTATCAGGGGATCGGGGAGATCGACAAGGATGTCACACACCGTATAGGGGTGGGGTGGATGAAGTAGAGGTTAGCGACGGGAGTCCTGTGTGACAAGAAAGTGCCACCGTTACTAAAATGTATGTTTTATAGAGCAGTGGTTAGGCCTGCCATGTTGTATGGGACCGAGTGTTGGCCGGTTAAGAACTCACACATCCAGAAGATGAAAGTAGCAGAGATGACGATGTTGAGGTGGATGTGCGGGCATACAAGGATGGATAAGATTAGGAATGAAGATATTCGAGAGAAGGTGGGCGTGGCCCCTATAGAGGACTAGATGCGGGAAGCAAGACTCAGATGGTTCAGGCACATTCAGAGGAGGAGCACTGATGCACCGGTGAGAAGGTGTGAGCGACTGGCTATGGTGGCACGAGGAGAGGTAGAGGGAGACCTAAGAAGTATTGGGGAGAG